CGGGTGTTATCTGCAAAGGAAGATACAGAGCTATGGCTTACATCTCTCTATGTCAGAAATGAGGATGAGGAATAGAATGGGAGCGAGTACTGTGCCTTGTGGAACAGAGCTTTTTCCCGTGGCTGCCTCAACTTTACTCTGATTACTTTTACTCTTTGTGTTCTATTTGTCAGAAAGTTGTAGATCCATCTACCAACTTTTCCCATTATTCCTTTATCACGCATTTTGTGTGCTATTATACCATGGTCACATTTGTCGAAAGCTTTTGCAAAGTCTATGTATACTACTGTATTTTTTTTATCCTCTACAGCATCCAGGACCTTGTCATAGTGGTCTAGTAGCTGGACAGGCAGGAGCGACCTGCTCAAAACCCCGTGTTCCCTGGGTTGTGTAACTGATGGGTATCTAGGTGGTTGGCTATCTTGCTTCTTAGAACCCTCTCAAAGGGATTTTTATGCAGTGCTGTATAGCCCTTGTGGCTTAGCGCTTCTTTTTTATTATAATAATAATCAAAGATTTTTATGATATGGGATGTTAGTGCTATCGGTCTGTAGTTTTTTGCAATTGCTTTACTGCCACCATTGCGGAGTGGGGCTATGTCTGTTGTTTTTAGTGTGTGTGGGATGACCCCTGTGTCCATACTCCCTCTCCATAAAATGCTGAAGGCACTTGATGGGGGCTTCTTCCAAAATTTGATAAACTTTGGAGTTTCATGTTTTCGGGGCCTGGGCAGAGCGAAAGGAAAATGTCATTTATTGCTTTTTTCCAAGTTTTTGTGGATTTAGAAAATATCCGGGGATTTAGAGATGCCCAAAATTTTTGGTTTTCGTTCATAAAGAATTCTTTTTGGATTGCCCGACCATTAGCCCTGGGCAGTGGTTTGGCTAAACACTGAGTCATTTTGGGGACTTTAGTAATTTTCACTCATTACTTGGTTGTCATTGTGTATGTCCCATCCCCCCTAAGCGGGGGCCCAATACTGGATGTTGTTTTTCCCCTTAGTTTTTTAAAAAAAGAGAAGAATTTTTTTTTTTTTTTTTATTCAATTTTTTTTAGGGTTTTTAAAATTCTTCCTGTAAATATTGTCTCCGAAAATTTTCCTTCAGTTAATTCGATTTTTGCATTTCATTGACTAGTGCCTCCTTTGTATTTCAATATATTGGCCCCACCAGCACTCTGGCCCTCTTCGCCTCCGCCCTTATAGGGAACTTTCTCTCTTTCTAGTTTACATCTTCTCTTTCTTTTTTTTAATAGAATGTGTATTGAGCAGATCTCAAGAACCACAAAATTCATTTTTTCAATGCAGATTTCGGATCTGTGTTTTTTTAGAATATCTTCCCATCTTTTTTTCTTTTAGGACATGGATTATTTTAAAACCTATTGTATTTTTTGTTATTGAAATTAAATTTTTTTGTGAAGAGCCCTTTTCATAAACTCTAAAAATTTTGCGGGTCAGGAGCCCGGGCAAACATGTCTGTAGTACCCCCATTATTTTTGTGATCTATTGAAATTTTTTTTTTTAAAAACAGTTTTTTTAGACATCAATTGTCATTGTTAAAAGATGAGCCCCAAATTTTTTTGGGGTTCTTTTTCGCTACTATTTCCCTGGGTTTAAAGGGTAAATTTGGGGGGAAAGAGATTTAATAGTTTGTGGGGTGTGTGGAATTTTCACCCAAAGCTGCCTCCTGGGGGATCTCTGCTAAAACATTTTGCTTTTTCCAACCTTTTTCCTTGATGCTCTTAATAATTTTCCCCCTTCCCCATTAAGTTTAAAGCTGAAGGGGAATCTAATTCCTTGTTTCCTTATCTTGATGTTCATGTCCACCACCCCAAATACAAGTTTTGCCTTTTCCTTTTAAACCGAAGCCAATGCACAGTGGCATGTACAGCACTATTTTCCCTTTTTCATGCTTCCCTCCCAAAAATTTTTAATTCACTTTTTCCCTTCCATGCTCCCCCGTTTTTGGGAAAACCTCATTTTCCGTGAATCAAAATTTTTCCATTCTTCATAGTTTTATTTTTCCCGTCTTGGCTCCCCTTTCCCCAAATTTCATAGACCCCTGCCTTCTCACGTGCTAAAGGGACTTTCTTCCCCTCCCAAATTTCTCAAACTCCTGTAACTCTCCTTTTCCCTCCCTTTCCCTACTTTTCCCCATTTCTTTCTATCTCGACAACCCCTCTCCTTTCCCTTTAAAGGACTAAAACTTACTTTTCGCCAGACTAACACTCTTTGCACAATCTAGTTCACACCTCTCCTCCCTCTATAAATGCCCCCCTGGTGTCCTAAAATCTATTTCTTGTTTCTCCTGTCCTCTCATAAATTTTGGGGAAACTGGCCGATCTCTTTCTGACAGAAATTTGGGGGCACAAAAAATGTGCTAGGGTTCCACCCAACCCAAAGCTCTTTTTTATGTCAGAGTCAAGTCATCCACGACTGGGCTCCTCTAATACTGTCCCATAAACATCTAACTTTCAAAGACGCCCCTTTTTGGTTTTAATCCTCCCCTTTTACACAACTTCCTTGAGAATCTAGCCCTTTGGGTTTGTCTCTTTAGATTCTTTCCTTTTCCCCTTACATTGTAAAATGCTTTCCCAAAATTTAGAACACCCAGACTTAAAAACCCGATTTTTTTTTTTTTTCCCCCTTTTTCCCCCTTCCCCCTTTTTCCCCTTTTTTCCCTTTTAGTTTTTTTTTTCTTTTGCCTTGGGTATTTTGTTTTTATTATTTTCCCCCCCCCTTTTGTTCTTGCTTTTTATCCTTTTTTGGCCCCACTCCCTTTTATGCTTCCCTTTTTTTAGTATTTGACCGACTCCAGTAAAGACTACACTACCTCGTTTCCCCCACCAAATACCTACCTTGCTTCCGCATTTGTCTGCTGGGCCCCAAATCAGACCGAAACGTCATCGTAAATTTCCTTTTCTTTCCCCCTTTTTCCCCTGTGCGGGATATTTTTGGGCCTGATCCCTCACAGTATTGGGGCCTTTTTTTTTTGTTTTTAAATGGATTTTTTTGGGCTTGAAAGCTGTTTTAAGTGTGAAAAAGGTAAAATTTTTTTGAAGTGATTCAGGGAAACCTTTTAAACCGGACTTTTTTGAAAATTTTGGTTTGGGCTGCCTCCAAGTGAAATTTCCCTACCCCCGGCAAAAATCCTTTTTTACACCGACTCGAGGTGGGTAAACCCCAGCCTCACAAGTTTGGGTTTTAGGGCAGATTTTTACAAAAGATTTTATGTTGCAAGAAAATCGCCTACATGCACGTATAAAGGGCTTTCCCTTTCTTGGTGTTTTCAGCATATATCCTGATCTTCAACTTCCCTAAGCTTAGCCTTAGCCCCTCTGGACTTTCCCTCAGAAACCACGTGCAACCAGGAGCCTTAATTCCTGCAGTATTCAATCGTTTTTAGTGCCTGCCTGCACCTCAGACATTCCTATATCCAAGAAGGTATGTATCCCCTAGTATAACTATGCAGACACGGACACTAGCTTCCAGACTGCCTTGAGACACTGGTACTTACTGGGCATGCTCTGCCAGCTGCAACACAGGCCCACAGATCAAACTCACTCTCAAATCTCCCCAGACACTGGCCAGAAATCTACGAGATAAAGTGGAGGTCTTGTCTTACTGTATGGGCCTGACGGACGTCATCTACGGTACATCGAGGTGCCTCTACCAGATTTCCCCAGGTCTCCAATGTGAAGACACGTGGGGGGCGCCGTCTGCTGATCACGGCACGTCTGTCTTAAGAAGGGAGAGCTCATGTCTTCCAGACCTTTGTCTCTTCGTTCAAACTAGGGCTGCCAGTTCTCCCTAGCTAACTTATCCTAGTGTTTGCCTACATTATCGGCCTATTACAACCTATGTTAAGGTCTTAGGTCTACATTATTATTATCTACAGTTGCCTTAGTAAACCTAATATTAATATACTAACAGTAAAACTACCTACTCCTTCCCTGAAGAGTAAATCTATAAATTAAATGCCTACCAACAATCCACGCCAACTAGAGAGAATGCTGTTTGTTTGGGAGGGTTTAAGGGCCACCCAGCTCAGCCGTCCCATTACGGCTATGCTGGGACCCCTTCGTACATCGTATCTGTCCTGTGGAACTTTAGGGACCAAATAAATTTCTACAACTTTAGTCCTGGAGGTGGAAAATACAATGCCTACAAGTCAAAGGAGGGGTTTGGGATATTCTTTGTTTAGAGAGACATCTGAACTGTTGTATCTGCACACCTCTGCAAACACAGTGATTATGTGTGGATGATGTAAACCCTGCCTTCGTGGGAGACTGCCAGCCGTTGAAAAAACATGATATATATATATATATATATATATATATATATAATATATATAATATATATATATATATATATATATATATATATATATATATATATATATATATACAGTGACCCCCCGCTTAACGATCACCTCCAAATGCGACCAATTATGTAAGTGATTTATGTAAGTGCGTTTGTACGTGTATGTTTGGGGTCTGAAAATAGACTAATCTACTTCACAATATTCCTTATGGGAACAAATTCTGTCAGTACTGGCACCTAACATACTACTGGAATGAAAAAAGTTCGTTAACCGGGGTCCACTGTATATATATATATATATATATATATATATATATATTATATTATATATTAATATATATATATATAGTATACAGTGGACCCCGCATAACGATTACCTCCGAATGTGACCAATTATGTTAGTGTAATTTATGTAAGTGCGTTTGTATGTGTATGTTTGGGGGTCTGAAATGGACTAATCTACTTCACAATATTCCTTATGGGAACAAATTCGGTCAGTACTGGCACCTGAACATACTTCTGGAGTGAAAAAATATCGTTAACCGGGGGTCCACTGTATATATATATATATATATATATATATATATATATATATATATATATATATATATATATATATAATATATATATATATATACATGAACTGTACACAAATTGATATCGTTATCGTGGCCACGAATGATGATTAATACTTATAACAGTTTACTGTAAAATATACAGGAATATAAGATAAAAGTTGAGAATGGAGGAACCACAGAAGATTTATTTGAAGTTCTATCATTCCATCACAAACAACATTTATGATTGTGTCTAACGAGTGTGGAAAACTTACCTTAAAAAATGATAAGAAGACATGTGAGCCGGAGTTGGCCAGGAAGACGATAGAAAGAAAGGTGCTAAAGCCGCCGTTGAGAACAGCTGGTCCGATGGTGGCCACCGTGTTCTTGGCCCGCTCATCTCTAGTGCCAGCTATGGTCATGAATGTGTGACCAACATGGGCAGCATAGTCAACACACAGCCCAATGGCCAAAACCAGGTCTATACAGGAGACAGTGTCGATGGTGAGTCCCCACCAGTGCATGAGGGCGCCCACGTCAACCAGGGTCAACAGTACACACACCAGAACCATTATGCTGGTGACCAGGCTGGCTATGAGCAGCAGCGTCATTATGAACACCACAGCTAGAGCTAGACCCATGTTCCGATATAATTCCTCTTCGATTACCTGGTTTGTTTCCCATTCTCCGTAGGATCTTGACCAAGCATACACATATCCGGTGAAATTGATCTCCCTGACGATTGATTTGATGCTTTCCATAGCCTTTATTTCCTCTTTTGATGTTGACATCAGTGTATGCCTGTAGTTAATACTGGAAATTGTTACTGTAGGGGCCATTTGGGTGCAGTTAAGGTTAGATGAGAAACGGAAGTTCCGACTTCTGTATGGTGACCCATTAGGGGAAAAAAGGAATTGGCTCAGCTGATCTAGAAACTCTTCCTCAGACTGTTGGGGGTCAGGGACTGTGTAGCCTTGCTTTTTCCAGTACCATTTGTATTTATCATACCAGCTGTCAACCTCCACTATAGTTTCGCTTTCCTTTAACCGTGTTGTCAGTAAATCGATATTGAACAGCTCTAAAAATAAATTCATATCCCCAAAATACACAGAACCCTGTTCTCCCGAAGATGGGTAATAATGATTTTGCTTAATGAAGTATTTGTAAAGGTAGGAATCTTGTGGTAGAAACCAGATAGGATCAAATTCCTGCCGCAGATTGGATAGTCCCCAGGCTGACACACAAGCTAGAACAGCTGTAGCCGCAAGCACAAAGATCTTTACTGGCAGCAGGAAAAGCAGGTTGGCATATACATGTGTAAAAAAAAGTTTTGGGACAAGTCTATTCTGGGGGT